TAAGTTTCAATTTTTCTACTTAGACTTCTACCGTAATAAAAGCTATCTTATCCTTTCAATAGGCAGATAAAAACGTTAACCAAAAACAGCTTTTAAAATGATTTTGACTGATATTTATCCTAAATTAGAATTCAGAATCACTTTCCACGTACTATTTATCATGCCCAGGAAAAGGTAGTTAGAACTGTAATATTCAAATATTTAAAATGCCTGTTGTTTATAAACTAGGATTATTTATTTTATTTGAAGCTGAAAACATTTGAAGTGCTGCATCAATTCGATGACCTTTGTTCAGTTTAATTATTTTTTGGAAATTATTGAAATTGTAATCGCGCGTCAAGTTTGAATCTTTTTGATATATATGGTATAACTTATAAATTTAAACTAGTCAATCAAAAGTTAATATACAAGGAGGTATTGCAACTATTTGTATTACTAATAATCAACATTCGTATCGGCAAATTAAAATACCTTGAAATTCGTAAGGTAATAAATCGCAAAAACTGCAAAAATTAAATTGTCTTGCTAAATTATTTAGGCAAATTTGAATATTCTAAATATTTATATTACCTTATAAATACTTATATTGCCACTTTCTCTTGTCAAAAATAACAAAAATGTTATGTGTATATTTAAGCACTGTCTGAAATTTAAATTATTATCGGTTCAGATTCAAGTAAATCCCCCAACGCATAAGTTTGCATTACTTTTTTCAGTTATATTGTGTTTCATTTGATTCCTGCACATTTTTTTGCTTTCAATGTAAGCAAAAGCACTGTATTAAATCCATGTAGATTTTTTAAAATGTTGCAAAAGCAGTTTGAATTCAAAGTTGTAAATTACGGTAAAATAAATGATACTAATAAATATAATTATTGAATGATTCTAGGAAAAAACTAATCTGAATTAATTTCATTATTATTATATCATTTCAGTAAGTACTATATATATGATCGTTGAGACTTACTCTCTCAATTATTTTCGATAAATAAAAACTAGAAAATGACTGTTTGGTTTTGAGTTTTTTAAGCAGGGTTATAGAGCGAAATCTGTTCGGGCATTATTAAGTCGAAGTCAAATGATTTTACAACTTTAAATTAGATTTGTTGCGCCACAAATCATTCAATCACTAGTTTGATAAGCAATAATATCTTCAATATTTATTTCGATATCAGTTACAAGTCATACACAGTACGATTTGGTAGTAAGTAGTAAAATGGTACGCATGATCAGTTGATTAGAAAAAGTGATTCAAATTTTGTGCTCTTATCTTAAAAATTGATTCACTTGCTTGCCCTCAAGCATGATATGGTGGTCGTTGGTATGAAGATCTAGAGTATGATGGTTGAGGTACTGGTATAGGTTGTGGGGCAGAACGATAGGGTACTTCTGGTCTTGATTTAATTTCCGGGATCTGTGGCCTTTGATATCCTTGTGGTTGGAGAGGTTTAGATTGGTATACTGGTTGTGGAAGTTGTGGAGGAACTGGTGGAGCTGGTGGTGAATATTGTGGTGGAACTGGTGGTGCATATTTTTGTGGAGGTGGTGGGGGAACTGGTGGTGCATATTTTTGTGGAGCTGGTGGGGGAACTGGTGGTGCATATTTTTGTGGAGCTGGTGGGGGAACTGGTGGTGCATATTTTTGTGGAGGTGGTGGTGGAAGAGGTGCTGAGTACTGTGGTGGAACTGGTGGTGGATATTGTGGTGGTTGAGGCTTTATTGCGTAGGATGGCCTAAAATTTAAAGATTATATTAATATAAAAAATTTACTTAGTAGATGTTATTGATAATATATTTGTTTGATTAATAAACATATATTTCTTAATGACGTTACCAATCTGATTAAAACGTCGACCTTAAATTTAGAAAAATCAATGTTCTGAATAAGTCATTAATAATAGCAAACAAACCTGCCATAAATTCGACCAACAAATTGCTCGGGATAGTTTATCCCTCCAGAGGTCAGCCTGGGCTGTCTTGAATCATGTCCTATACTCGGTATTTCAAACGTTCTTGGAGGCTGTTGTGCATTTAAAATGGAAGGGTCATTAAAATTTGGTGGTGCATCAAAAATTGAAGGTTCACTGAATCCTGACGGTGCACTCAAACTTGAAGGATCGAGCTGTCCAAGCACGTCTTGACTATTTTGGAGTCCTGGTGGTCCAGGTACTCGTTTTACCCTAAAATCACTCCAATAAATTTGAAATTAATAAAAAAATTATATCTATTCAAAGATAATTACTGTTCTGTAATGAAGTATATGTGTTATAATTTTGACTGATTAAAATATCTACTTATATTTTTTGCACAAAAAGAGTTCTAGCCTAGTTGGTATAATATTGTGTTGTAATATAAATAAGTAAAGGTGTATAGCTATGACAGTTGTTATTAACTTGAAAACTTAGACCAAATTAGTTTACTCTTTCTTTGTGTTAATTAGCTGTAACTACTGTAAGTTTTCAACGAAGAATACAAGTACTTCTGTAAAAAAAGAACAAATTATCGAATAAAGTTTGCATGATGATTCATGTTCAGGTTAATTCATGACTCATCATTTTAATTTCTACAATTAATGTCAATAATGAAACTAATTGCAATGCAAAATTAAGCGTACACAATACTGCTTAATATTAAATATTAAAGAAATAATATTTGGTGCAATTTTTGTAATTTTTTAAAAGTATTTTCGATATGAATTCTCTAAATTCTGTCCAATTTTGTATTACAAAAACTGTAAGCTTACCGTATGTTAGAATTTGCAAAGATTGCAAGAGTTGCAAGCAGAAATATGCTAATAAATATCATTTTTCAAATTTACGAATTACGCCACCTTCCACGTAAAGTTATTCTAGAATTAATTACAAACTCATTGCTTGTTTATTAAATTAATTAACATCAAATAGTAGGAAAAAATCACTTTTAAAAAGAGCTGCTCGTAATTTGTAAATCTTTCAAAGTTTTAGGGATAATTTATTTCGAATTCATAATTATTATTTCTTGAGTTAGTTAATAAATGCATTAATAAGTAGAAAGCAATTATATGACCGCAAAATATATCACAATGAGCAGATGTATTTTCAAATTATCATTGATATGATCAAAATTATTTTCACGCACCATTTTATTTATGCAAATTATTTTTTTCAAAAGCCCTTATTTAAGTCATTTTTTAAAACTTAAACGCTTTATTCACATTATTTCACGTGAAATGCATTCATTTGAAATGCATCTCATTTGATAGAATTTTATCAAGAATTGAACTGAATGTAATGATAATCAAAATAAGACCTTTGAACTGATAATATATCAATGATCAATATTAGGAATTTATCCAAACAATTGATTTTTTGATAGTTGAAAAGCAAACGTTTTATGCAAATTCACCATCACTTAAACCTGATCAAATAACATTCTAATGAGAAACCAGTTAGCAAACAAATCTAAAACAGTAATCCTAAATTCATTTCAAATGATTATTTTTGAAGTATATGTATATTATCACTGTGTTCAGAATTACTTATAAATACAAATGTATAAGTGGTATAAATCATAGCAAATTAAGTTTTGAGTATAAATGTAGAAAAATAATAATTATAAATTTTAAGTAGCATTCAAGGCAGCGCAACAGACGATGACACTGATATAAATTCTGTTTTAGGCATATTTATTCTATTATTTTAAACTTGTAACAAATTACTGTTCACTTATTTCTTCATTCAATTTGCACAGAAAAAATTTTCAGTACTGCATACAGTAACATCGTAATGAAAACTAGTTCTTTAGAATGGTAGCCAGGGAAATTTGAAAGTAATCTAACGAATAAGTAATTCTTTCAATTTATTGTCAGTTTTATTTTTGTCATTTGATGAAGAAAAAATTTGAAAAAAAATTACTGAAAAAGTCTTTTTGAAGAATTGTTTGACTTTTTATAAATTATCCATTTTCAGATGCAATTTTGCTAAAAATCAACAATTACAATTTTCATTTTTCATTTACTTTTGGACAGATAAATTACTAAAAGTTTATTTTTTTAATTGCATTTCTAAATTGACACTACAACAAAGTTATATTTTTAAGGTAATTATCGGCAGAGTATTTTTTATTTCAACTCATAGAAATAGCCTTACATCTGAAAAAACAGCCTTGTACTTCAACACAGCTAATTTTAAGATAACTTTTCATGCTTTTGTTTTCTAATTACTTGAATAAATATGAATACATTGTGATGTTTTTGATTCTCGCAATGAGAATCATGATTTATAGAGTGTCTAAATAATAAGTTTTACGAAAAATTTATTCTTTCATTAACAAGATATGATTCAAATGAAATACAATAAATGGCCTCAGATAATAAAAGCAAATTAATGATTATTTTTAATCATACATAATAGTCCTAAGATCAAAAATTCGTCTAATTTGTGTTCACAGTATTGTTTTCTATCACTGTTAATTTTTTAACAGTTTATCAATTGCACAATTAAAATTTGAAGCAAATAGTTTATTGTTTCTTATAGTTCTTATTGCAACATTTTTAAATAATACTGAATAATTGTAAAACTATCAACAATATATGATTTTCACCGATCGTTGACAATAATAACACAATGGAAATGGTATAGTATATTTTATAAAGCTTTATGAGCTGAAGTTGGTTCAAATTTCTGAAGCATAGTATTTGGTCGATGCCTTGGCCCCATACCCCACTGAAATATGCAAATTTATTTTAAAATATCTAAAAAAGCTCCACAACATATTTGATTTTCAAATATTTTAACGAATTATTGCATTTTATCTCAGAAATTGCTAAAATATCTCCAAAATAATTATGCAACTAAAAATAGCTACATTTTTTAAAACTTTGATTATAGATGCAATAATCCTTAATTTTACAAAAAAAATTTTTTAAATTTTAAAAATTTTTTTGTTTTTTAAATATGTTAAAAAGTTTTGAACTTTGCTAAAATATCCTTCAAATAAATAAATAATAATGAAGTGATTTGCTATTTTCAAAATTTATGTCTTACTTCATTAGCAATTTATGTTTTACAAATATTCATATTTAATACATTTACTTTTAATTGCTAAAAAATTCTTAAAAATAGCAAATTACTTCATTATTACTAATTCATTCGAAGAACATTTTAGCAAAGTTTAAAATTTTTTTCAGAAAAAAGTACTTCATGCAATTGGTAACTTCACAAATAATGTATTTTGTAATTGTTTGCAATATTCTGTTTCTTAGTATCTTAAAAGAGTTTCTCCTGATTTCTATTATTAAATTATTAACATATTTATTCATGATATTGTTTTTAATGGAAATGTTTTAAATTTGAAATCATTTCGGGGAAATATACGTCAGCAGCAATTTTTGGCTTATTTTCAAAATATATGCCCTAACAAATCATATTTTATGCATCTCTGCAAGAATATATGAAATCATAAAAATGGTCACAATACTAAAAATCATAAAAATCACTAACTGCTTAAATTTGTTTGCCATATTTACGTGATGCAATCATAAAAATAATTGACGAAATTAGTACTTACAGATTTATATTATATAGATATTATAATCGAAAGTACTATTCATTATAAAACTTTAATGGACTCTGTTTGTTTGTCAAACCAAAAGTTTTCTTGAAAATATTTCAAAAAAGTCAAGGCTTTCACAGCAACAATTCTGAATGATTAGTAATCATCTGTGCCACAACTAAATGTTCCTAATGATTGATGAATATTCTTGCTGAAGCTAAATACTTCTATTGATTATCTGCCCACTATAGTTCGAATTTACCAAATATATGTTAAGTAAAAATTCTATGGATAATCGAAAATTCCAGTTTATAATAGCCAACATCAATTTTTGTCTACTGTTGAAAATGTTCAAATAATAATAAGTGAAAAAATTAATTGATTAATTGATTAATTGCTAACTGAAAAATATATTATTATTGAGGAAAAAACTTGTGATAATCTGATAACTTGCTTTAAAATATTATAAGATTTAAAGTATAATAGCCAACATCGTGACAGTATTTATTAATTAAGCACTATTAACTAATTACTTTATAAATTACTCTCAAAACATTTTATGGCATTATATTTCAAAATTTTGTTAAACATGTTACTAATTATTGAAAAATTTAACAAGAAAAAGCTGAAGCTGACTATCAAATAGAAATAATAAATAATTTTAAAAAGCAATTTAAATGCTTTGTGAAAATTGAAAATTTTATTAAACAAACCTTTGCAAACACAGTTTTATCATCACTTTCAGATACACAACACCAAAGTATACAAGTTACCGAAATAATGAATACTATGGAAAAGAATGAAATCCATACTGCAACAGGCCCAAAGTAATCCAGCACATCAAGTTGTTGTTTTAGGTCAACCATCACTGAAATTAAGATTAAATCAGAGTAGACTGAATTAGAAAATATTACACACAACAATTGACTTCTTAGTATTAGTCTTTCGCGTGCTAATTAACGTCAATATTAAATCAAAATATTCCAGGTTGCTATTACAATAAACATTCTTCGTTTACATTCTTCTGTCCATTTTCATCATTTTAAGGATTGATTAAAAATATTTATCAACAAAAGCACTATTAGTTATCAAAGATATGAAATTTTTTCATTTTAAAAATAATCGTTACTATATTAATTGCTTAAAGGGTAAATAAATAAGCAACAGCTTTTTTGCCATTCTTTTTTTTCAAAATTTTATCACAGCGCAAAACAGAAAATAAAAAGTTTAATAAAATTAATTCTAAAAAATAAGAAGTTATTTAAGTAAAACAATCGTAATATTTTTAGAAAATATCTTGCAACTAATTAAAAGCTGTTTGAGATGAACGTTCGTAAAAAGTTTAGATAAATCATATACTACAAGAAAATTAGTCTTCTCCTTGTTGCAAGTTAGTAGTATAATTTTTCATTCTCGAAAATCTATGATTAATTTTTGTTCAAAAAAACTTTTAAAAAAATGTAAAGCTGATAAAATGAAGTATCTAAAAACATCAGGAGTGAGAAAGAAAAATTTTTAATGCAACAAACAACCTATACTTAAGATACAGCTCAAATTTAATCAATACTAGTAGCTAAGCTAGACTAGTCTAGCTTAGTAGCTAGCAGCTAGACTAGCTTTCTTCTTTTATTACAAGCAAAATTAAAGAGCTCGAAGAACGAATGAATGAATAAATGACTGAATAAATGAATGCATAAATGAACGAATGAATGAACGAATGAATGAATGAATAAGTGAATTATTAACAAATTGATAAGCTTTGCTGTAAGTAGACAAACCAATCACTGATGGATTATTAAACCAAAGACTAGTAAAATTTAAGAATAATGAGTAGATTACCCATTTTATCAGTATATAAAGATAGAATTAAATATGAATGAAAATTATACTTCATAATTAATTTCATTATTTTATGTCTAATTAGTCAACTTATGCTAAATTCAATCAAAATTTTGCTTATCTTTGTCTGTATTCAAACACTTGTATATCCATAAGTATATATTAATAAACTCCATTGCGTTTTTGTGTAAATATTTATTAATCAAAATTAAGCAGTATTAGCTGTTTATGCATTTTGTTGTTCACTAGCTAATTTATTTTTTAAGCAAACTGAACAGATTTTTAAAAGTAGAAACTTTATGATCAAATTCTTTACTTTTTATTATTAAACTTTTATATTTAATATTTAACTTTTTTTACTATCGATTTTTTCTTTATCTCATCAATATATATAAATTTTCCATAAGTAAATTTATAAATCTCTAGTGTTCATTAAGTAAAAGTAGTGCAAAATGGGCAATTACGTTGAAAATAGAAAACATAGGTAGCCAACACAACTACAAATGTATGTATTGACAGCTCTTATGCATAAATTAAATAGCTTCAAAAATACTTAAACAAACCAAATGCAAGCAGAAATTTACATTGCGTTCTAATATATATTCTCATGAATTGGTCTATTTTGCCGGGTATTTATTATTTAATTTTGAATTATTAAATTTTGTATTTGAGTTTGCAATGACATTTTTGAATAAATTAATATAATTATTAGCATTACTATTATTAATAATATAATTGTAATAGAAAGAATAATTTAAAAAGATTGATTATTTTGTTAAAAAAAGTGATAAAAGATAATAAAGAATAAACATGCGTAAATAAAAACTTACTAAGAATAATAAGATAATAAATGTAACAAAGAAAAGAGAGATTACGAAATAAATTGTGAAAAAGTAATGTTTGAGAAGAGAAAGTTATTTTTGGTGTGAGAAAATAGGAAAAATATTTAAGAACATAGAATGCTGTAATTGAATAGATAGATAGATAGGTAGATAGATAGATAGATAGATAGATAGGCAGATAGATAGATAGACAGATAGATAGATTAGATAGATAGATAGATAGATAGATAGATAGATAGATAGATAGATAGATTAGCCATAAGCAATGCTTCATAAGCAAAACATAAAGTGTATAAAAATTTATTTATCTATCAAATTAAAACTTTTTTCAAGTAGCTCAAAGTGCATGAGCAGTTAGCTGTTGCCGTATTACACGTCAACTTTAAACAATGTCTGACGTGAACTTCAAATAATGCGTCATAGTCATGTTATGTAGTAAATAAAAATATGAAGTCAAAATTTTTGCGTAGTAAAAAAAAAAGTGATATCATTTGGATGCAACGACATGTGGTTTCTTTCCATTCGCTAAAAATGCAGCGCAAACTTGTCCATATCAAAATAAAATTTATTATTAACTACAAGTCACGTAATCATATGCTTTGTTGCGTGAACTTATATTTTTTTAAATTTATTTTGCACTTTTTTTTCAGTAAATAATGATAAGTAAACTTTTAATATATAATTGATTAAATTTTTATATTATTAAGTAAATTCAAACTTAAAAAAATTTGCAATTCAAACAATACACGTATTTTTTTAAATAAAAAAGAAACAAAGTAAAGTTATTGCTAAAAATATAATAATACCTTTGAAAATAGCAACATTTTTTGCAATTTTTTACTTAAATTTTTAGGAATAATTTTTTAAAAAAATTCGAATATTATTTATACTTTGGAAAAATCTTTCCAGCGCAAGTCGTCCTAACAAAGGGCGAAAAAAATGTTTTTGAATTAAAGTGAATTTAGGGATGACACACAGTTTTTGAAAATTCCTTCATCACATGCTAAAATTGTCATTTTTTAATAACCAAAAAGTTTTCGAGTTTTATTTGCCCAAAAAAGAATAAATAAATGTACAAACAGGATTGCAGCACTGCAAAAGTAATTTGAAAAGTATTTGTATTTATTTATTTATTTTACATTTTTGACAAATCTTAACCACTTTGTAAAATTATCACATTTTTATTTCATTTAAATAATAATTGCATAAAACCTACATTTTTAAATTATCCAATACTTACTTAACATTGTGAAGGCAAAAAATGCGTGAGTTTTTTATTTCAATTTATGTATCAAATAAAATTTTATTCATCATACGTAATATTAGTTGTCATATATACAATGCAAATATTATATTCATATGTGCAACAAGTTATTCATACAATTTAATGCGTATGCACGTGTATAAAACGTCATTGAGACGTTAAAAATTGATTGCAATGTAATAAATATAGGTGTGCAAATATTTTTCATTCAAAAATTATGCTCAACTATATTCTTTTACAATAATATCAAAATTAAACAATTAAAAATGCTATAAAAATAAAAAAGTAAAATAAAAATTTTTTCTACTTTTTAAAAAAATTTGATATTATTAGAAAATTTTGTTTTTTAAAAATTTAAATAATTTATTAAAGTTATATTTTCATTTTGATTGTATTTTGTTTAAACAAAATAATAAATTAATTGCAACTTTTTTCATAATTGCTTATTGCAATTTAAGAGAGTTACACATTTCCTGCATGAAATTGTAATTCAGTTTTATTTATTAAAATTAGTTTGTCTTTAATTTCATAGCAAAGTTTGTACATTAAACTTTCTGTTTATTATTTAATCAATTTACAAGTTAGCTATTAGCAATCACTAATACTTTGAACAGTACATTTGATTGATATCAGCAAAAAAAATTATTTTAAAAACAATTTTTGAGTTTTATTAAAATTTATTTGATTTTGTCTCTGAATAAACGAAAAAAATTTTTTGATTAATAATTAAGAGCAAAAAATTGGATCATTACTGTAAAATAATTACTGTGAAATAAATCACTGTAAAAGTTCGCTTTTTCAAATTAATCAAAATTTGTTTGGGTTAATACTTTAAGGCATATTTTTGAATTTCTGAATGTGCACCATTTAATGACAACGTTTTAAAATAATGATAATAGAAAAGTTTTTGACTTGAATTATTTAAAATGTAACATACTAAATTAATATGAATTGGAAATTATACTTAATCGGTTAAACGAATTTATAATTATTTTGAATATTTTATAAGCCATTTTTTAATGCTTTTTAAGTATTACAAAAATGAAAGAATGACTAAACTTTAAGATCAGTTTTTGTAAATTCATTCTACCTAATTACTTCACTTTTATAATATTTCTAAAAATGATTTTAGCTCTTAGTAGACAAATATTTACACTAAATTGTTATTCTTTTCCAAGGTTTTTTGGTTGTTTTTTTGCTTTTGCAGCATAATTTGTGCACAACTTTCCTTTCCATCACAAACTGCAAAGATAAGAACTAAAATTAAACAAAAATGCAAAATGATTCACATCAAAAATGAATAAATATAAGCAAAAAGTTTATTGCTGTTATCACTTGCCACAAATTAAAAAATAACGATATATATAAATATGTATTTGGAATATGTTGCTTAAATGAAATTGTTGTTGACTAATTATCAAGTTTTAAATACAATTTTGATGATTAATTAAATTAAATTAATTTAATTTGACACAAAATTTGTACTAGTTTTATATTCATAAGACGAAATACTGTAAAAATATGCAATTTATACAAAATACTGTCAGTAAACTTGACAAAAACTGTACGAAGAAACTAATATAAAAAGAAGTCAATAATAAAACATTGAAAAGACTTTACACATTAATTTTGAAGTAAAGTTAACAAATATTTGCAATACAAAAATGTTTAACAAAATTATCGGCAAAAAATAATTTTCAGTTTGACGTAGTTTGAGAAAAAATTCATCCAAACATTCCTTCAATAACAAATTTTATTCATTTCTAATCAATCACTAATTTCTCGAAGTAATTTTTACACGTTTGATAATAGTTTGACTTATCTAAAAAATAATAACTTACAATTTTTAGTATGTATGAAATAAAATTTATATTAATAAATTATGAGGTTTAATCCTGAAAGTTTCATATTGTTCGTAGAA